AAAAAAAAAAAAAAAAGAAAAGAAAAGAAAAGCCCGAACTGGAGCTATGGTTCCATTGGTAAAGCACCAGCCTTGATTTCAAATGCTCAGGGCAGAGCCCAGGCCCAGAGTCTAATCCCTAAGACCAACCAAAAAACAACAAAAAAAAAGTGTGGGGGGGTGTTGAAAATGTGGCTTGGTGGTAGAATGCTTGCCTAGCATGAAGCCCTGGGTTTGATTCCTCAGTACCATATAGACAGAAAAAGCCGGAAGTAGTGCTGTGGTTCAAGTGATAGAGTGCTAGCCTTGAGCAAAAGCAGCTCTGGGACAGTGCCCAGGCCCTGAGTTCAAGCCCCCGGACTGGCAGAGAGAGAGAGAGAGAGAGAGATCCTGCTAGGCTGCCCAATGCATTCTACCCCTTCTAACCCTGCTCTGAGAAGCTGGGTGGTCCATACTGCCCTTCCCCAGGGACCGCTGACTCTTCCACTAAGCATCCCCCACTCCCCGTCCCCCCAACCCCCCCCCCAGGATGGAGGACTTCCCAGGGACCAGGCCTTTTACTTCCTAAACTGTATCCACATCCCACATGGCCTCTGAGAACATACAACAAAGCCCCGCGGGCCTGGCACCCGAGACCCCTGACAGAACCCTTTGTTTGGGTTGGAAACTGCCAGAAGAGATGAAAGGGACTTCGCTGACCTCCTCACCCCGGGCTATCTCACCCACTCCCCTTAGACTCCAGGCTGTCCTGCTTTTTTCTCCCCGTGGTCACCCAGGGTTAAAGGCACTCCAGCAGCTAAACCAGGGAGGAATGTAAGGAATGTACCTAAGGGCTGATTATTTTCATCCGGGACGGGCTGAAACAGAGAATGAGGTCAAAAACAAGCACCGTCTCTTTCTCAAAGGACTCTCCTAAGAGAGGCTATTAGATATAGTTCATTAGCTGGGGAGGTGCCAGGACAGAGAGCTACTTTTTAGGTTGCTAGCTGAAGAGACATGGAGGCATCATGCCAAGTTTAGATCCTTCAGTCAGTAAGGGACTGCATTTAGTTCCAGCTTACGCTCCCTTATATCTATCTGAGTTTTATTCATGTTCACATCAAAGGCACTCAGGGCTAAAAAGGAGGAGAAGAGAATGTATTCTAAGATACAAGTTAGGATCACAGTAAGAAAAAAAAAAAGGAGGGGGTTGGGAGGGGTGGCTCAAGCGATGGAGCACCTGCTTTGTTCATACTCAAGAAATTTGGAAAAATAAATAAGGGCTGGCAATGTGGCTTAGTGATAGAGTCCTTGCCTAGCATGCATGAAGCCCTGGGTTCAATTCCTCAGTACCACATACCTGTAAAAGCCGAAGTCATGCTGTGGCTCAAGTGGTAGAGTGCTAGCCTTGAGCAAAAGCAGCTAAGGGACAGTGCCCAGGCTCGGAGTTCAAGCCCCAGGACTAGCAAAAATAAATAAATAACTTTATTTTCTCACTAAGGCTGACTGTAATCAAGTGGTGTAGTGGTGCTAGCTAAATGTCTTCCCCTTGCCCCATTATTTTTTGGGAGGGGCCTGGGGCTTGAACTCTGGGCCTGGGCGCTGTCCCTCAGCTCTTCAGCTCAAGGCTGGTGCTCTACCACTTGAGCCACAGTGCCACTTCCAGCTTTTTCTGCTTATGTGGTGCTCAGGAATTGAACCCAGGGCCTCATGCATGCAAGGCAAGCGCTCTACCACTGAGCCACCTTCACAGCCTGAAATTCAATTCTTTATAAAATTTTTTTAAGAGGAGGGAGCCAGTACTGTGGCTTGAACTCAGGGCTTGGGGCCTGTCCTATAGCTCTTTTCACACACTTTCTGGTGGTTAATTGAAGCTAAAGAGTCTCAAGTACTTTCCGGCTTGGACTAGCTTTGAATCCCAATTGTCACACTTCAGTCTCCTGAGTAGTTAGGATTACAGGTGTGAGCCACCAGTACCTGGCTTGAAGAGTTGTTTTCCTTTTTTTTTTTCAATGCAGAGGATAGAGCCCGGGCCTTGAGCATGCTAGATAAGCACACTACCCCTGAGCTACAGCCCCAGCCTGCAAAAGTTGCTTTTTGCATTAAAAAAAATAAAGCCAAGTCAACTCCCTGAGAACATTCTGGACTGCAAGTTCCCTGATTAGACTGCTCACTATGTCCTTTGAACCTTTGCCCCCAGCTCCTCTCTGGGGCTGTAATACCTTCTCCTCTCCCCACTCCCCTCAGCAGTCAAAGGACACCTTCCCAGCGCAACCGAAAAGATCTTCCCTCCCCAGCCCCTGCTCCGTGGATGCGTATCTTACATTGCCTAACAGTGATTTTCACCTCCCAGCTTCTTGTGAGACAGGGTCTTGCTATGTAGATCAAGCTGGCCTTACATCACCATCCTCCTGCCTCTGAGTGCCAGGATTACAGGCATGTGTCACCACGCTTCATTTACCGTCATGTGTTTCTAGGTATTAGTTTGGTAATTCTATGCCCAGCACAGTCCCAGAGTTCACCCAGCCATGTGGGTGCTCAACAGGAATAAATAAAGGAATGGCTTGTTCCTGAGGACATAGCTTCCGACCAAATCTACCCACCTTGCAAGTGGCGCTATGGCTCAGGCTGAAGAGCTGAGGGACAATGCCCAGGCCCAGAGTTCAAGCCCCATAAACTACAAAAAAATAAAAATAGGGGCTGGGAAGGTGGCTCAGTGGTAGAGTGCTTTGCCTTGCATGCTTAAGGCCCTGGGTTTGATTCCTCAGTACCACATAAGCAGAAAAAAGTGCTGTGGCTCAAGTGGTAGAGTGCTAGCCTTGAGCTGAAGAGCTGAGGGACAGTGCCCAGGCCCAGAGTTCAAGCTCCACAGCTGGCAAATATATATATGTATATAAACAAAAAACAAAACAAAAAAACAAATCCTACCCACGAAGGCTTTCTGTTTTTGGTTGTGTTGGTACTGAATCTTGAGTTCATTTTCTTTTTCTTTTTTCTTTTCTTTTTTTGTAGGTCATGGGGCTTGAACCTCTGGGTCTGGGTGCTGTCCCTGAGCTCTTCAGTTCAAGCAAGCACTCTACCACTTGAGCCACAGCACCACTTCCCGTTTTCTGGTGATTAATTGGAGATAAGGGTCTATCAGACATTCCAGCCTGGGCTGGCTTTGAACTGTGATCCTCAGATCTCAACTTCCTTAGTAGCTAGGATTACAGGCATGAGCCACTGGCGCCCAGCTGAATCTTAGATTCTTGAATTTAGGTCCTCAAACTCTTGCTTAGAGTTTTTTTTCTTTTTCTTTCGTTTTTCCTTTTTCTTTTTTGCCAGAACTGGGGCTTGAACTTAGGGCCTGGGCACTGTTCCTGCGCCTCTTTGTGCTCACGGTTAGCACTCTACCACTTGAGCCACAGCACTACTTCCAGCCCTTTCTGTTGGAGATAAGAGTGTCATGGACTTTCCTGCCTGTGCTGGCTTTGAACCATGATCCTCAGATCTCAGCCTCCTGAGTAGCTAGGATGACAGGCATGAGCCACCGGCACTCTTGCTTAGATTTTTCCCCTCAAGCCTAGTACACTAGCACATAAACCACTTTCAACTTCTTGCTACTTAATCAGAGATAAGAGTCTCCTGGACTTTCCTGCCAGACTGGCTCCAAACCATCATCATCCTCAGATCTCAGCTTCCTGAATAGCTGGGATTGCAGACTTGAGCACCTGGATCCTCCATCCTGCGTGGCAGATGCTGGGTTCATGGAGATTCGTGGACTAGCTTTTCAACTGTTGTCTTTACTCCTCCTAGGGTCAGCTGCTGGTCAGCTGAAAGCGCCACCCGGGATATGACTCAGAGTACCAAGAGGTAGTTCAGTGCCAGACTTCAGAACCGGTAGCTGCAGGGTGTGTATAAGCTGCTGCCCTAGGAAGCAGAGAAACGTTCTGCTCCTGCCTCTGAGCCCCAACACCAGCGCTTATCACAGGAGTAGAGCTGTGAGCTCAGAATAGGACATAGGCCGGCACTGGGTGGCTCACACCTATAATCCTAGCTACTCTGGAGGCTGAGATCTGAGGATCGCAGTTGAAAGACAGTCTGGGCAGGAAAGGCCGTGAAACTTTTATCTCCAATTAACCACCAGAAAACTGGATGTGGCGCTGTGGCTCAAGTGGTAGCAGTTGCCTGGAGCTGAAGAAGTGAGGGACAGCGCCCAGGCCCAGAGTTCAAGCCCCACAACTGACAAAAAAAAAAAAAGCATAAGGTCCTAAGTTCAAACCCTAGATCAGTCCATTTTGAGCTGACAACTGTAAACTGAGGGCTGCAGCGCTAGATGGGGGAATGGTCACTTGGGTGAAGACCCACCCCGCCCCAGTAGGGATGCAGAAGGCCATCGAGCACGCCTTACATGGGCATGGGGCAGCCGCAGGAGTCCCTGCCACTCCGCAGCCTCGTGAAGGGCTTGGAACAAGTGCCCATCACCTGCTGCTGCGGCAAGTGTGCCCGGCGTCTGCCACCTCTGTCTTGTGACCGAGGAATTTGTACGCATTAGTTCTGAGCTCACAGAGGAGAAAATGTCTCCTTGATGTCACTCGGTTGCTGCCAACTCATCAGCTGCATGGAAAGGTCAGGGCGGGGGAAGCCTCTGGCCCGGGGTCCTGCAGCCCAGCCTGAGGTGGGACTTCCCTGCCCTTCTCTTCCCTTCCTCCCTTCCAGCCGCCCGCCCTGGAACTAAGTGGAGGCGCCAGTGTGTGCTCTCCAGAACACCACAGGTGCTTGTGCACACACCCCGGGGTCACTCCAGTCTCCCTTCACAGACATGAGCCCTCTTGTCCTCCGGGCCTTCTCTGCAGACTCTCAGAGCGTGCCTTGGGATCAGAGGAGACCTGTCCTGAGCCTCCTGTCCTGGTGTCACTCCAAGGATAAACCCAAATGGCATCTTTTCTTTCCTTTTTTTCTTTGTGGTTGTGGGGCCTGAACTCTGGGCCTGGGCGCTGTCCCTCAGCTCTTCAGCTCAAGGCTAGCACTCTACCACTTGAGGCACAGCGCCACTTCTGGCTTTTTCTGCTTATGTGGTGCTGAGGAATCGAACCCAGGGCCTCATGCATGCAAGCACTCTACCACTGAGCCACCTTCCCAGCCTGGCATCAAGGTTCTTTTGTATCTCTCGTCACAAATGCTGGGGCAAGCTGGAGCTGGCTTCAGAGCCTGACTGCAGCTGCTTATTGGAGGTTGTCTGCAAGGTACGTAATGTCTCTCAGCCCGCTCCCTGCCCTGGGAAATGAGGATAATAATAATAATGGTGGGTACTGAGGTACATGCCTGTAGTCCCAGCTGTTGGGGAGACTGAAGCACAGGATGCCGAGAGTCCAGGGGTTTGAGGTTATTTGGGGCAATATTGTCAGGCTCCGCTTCAAAAACAAAACAAAAGGGGCTGGGAATGTAGCCTTAGTGGTAGAGTGCTTGCCTAGCATGCATGAAGCCCGGGGTTCAATTCCTCTATACCACATACATAGAAAAAGTGGCGCTGTGGCTCAAGAGGGAGAGTGCTAGTCTTGAGCAACAGCAGCTCAGGGACAGTGTTCAGGCCCAGAGTTCCAGCCCCAGGACTGGCAAAGGCAAACAAACAAACAAACAAAAGCCTCTGAGTGTGGCTCAAATGGTAGAGTATCTGTCTAACAAGCTGGACACCCTGAGTTCAGTACTGACTAAAACAAAAACCAAACAAAGTATCTCATAGTGTGGTTGTGGAACTGACCCGGGTCACTGCAGGGCGAGTTACTTAATCCCTGAGACTTAATGTCCTCATCCATCCAACAAGGTTAGACATTCGTAATTCATTGTCACTAAGACCATACAAAGCCATCTCCCCAGACTGCGCTGGGGAAATGAAGGGGAGTGAGGGTTCAGCAATGTTCCACCAGACTAGCAAGCACAGGCCCTGAGTTCAAACCCCAGTACTGCCAAAACAGAAAGAGAAAGGAAAGGGAGAGGGAGAAAGGAGAACAGTTATGTGGGTCAGGCATCAGTGGCTCATAACTATAATCCTCATTAATCAGGAGGCTGAGGGCTGAAGGCTAGTGTTTTGAAACCAGCCTTGATAGAAAAGCCCAAAAGAGGGGCTGGGAAGGTGGCTCAGTGGTAGAGCGCTTGCCTTGCATGTTCGAGGCCCTGGGTTCGATTCCTCAGCGCCACACAAGCAAAAAGAAAAAGCCGGAAGTGGCGCTGTGGCTCAAGTGGTAGAGTGCTAGCTTTGAGCTGAAGAGCTGAAGGACAGCGCCCAGGCCCAGAGTTCAGGCCCCACGACCAGACCCAAAAAAAAAAAAAAGCCCAAAAGACTATGTCTCCAAAATAATCAACAAATACTAGGCAAGAGTGGCTCAAGTGGTAGAACTCTAGCCAAGAAAGTTGCAAGGACCTGAGTTCAAGTCCCAGGACTGGTTTGAAAAAAAAAAAAGAAAACGTTACTTCAGAATTTCCCCCCTCTCCTCTCCTGAGGACAGTGGTTTGCAATTCTGTTGGTGGGGACTAGGCAGATGAAAGAGATGAAAGAAGAAGAAAAAAAAACACACAGGGATATGAAAGAAGGGATTACTAGGGACAAGATCAAGGAGATGGGAGGGGAAAGCTCCAATAAGAAGAAAGCCATGGGCTGGGAAGGTGGCTCACTGGTAGAGCGCTTGCCTTGCATGCCTGAGGCCCTGGGTTCGATTCCTCGGCACCACATAAACAAAAAGAAAAAAGCCGGGAGTGGCGCTGTGGCTCAAGCGCTCACCTTGAGCTGAAGAGCTGAGGGACAGCGCCCAGGCCCAGAGTTCAAGTTCCACAACCGACAAAAAAAAAAGGAGGAGGAGGAGGGAGGAAGAGGAGAAAGAAAGCAGTTGTGGACTTCACTGCAACTGGAAGAGAGCACAGCCCAGGTTTAGAAGAAGCACTGCTATAGGCGTAAAGAACAGCTTAAGGAGGGCTGGGAAGGTAACCCAGTGGCAGAGGGCTTGTCTCACATGCATGAAGTCCTGGGTTCCATTCCTCAGTATCACATAAACAGAAAAAGCTGGAAGTGGCGCTCTGGCTCAAGTGATAGAGTGCTAGCCTTGAGCAAAAGAAGCCCAGGGACAGTACTCAGGCCCTGAGTTCAAAAAAAAAAAAAAAGGAAGAAAAGAGAAGTTGGAAGAACAGACACCAGGGCCATATTCCCTGAGGCCCTCCTCAACAATTTTTTTTTGTTGTTGTTGTTGTTGGCTGTGGGGCCTGAACTCTGGGCCTGGGTGCTGTTGCTTAGCTCTTCAGCTCAAGGCTAGTGCTCTACCACTTGAGCCACAGCGCCACTTCCAGCTTTTACTACTTATGTGGTACTGAGGAATCGAACCCAGGGCCTCATGCATACAAGGCAAGCGCTCTACCACTGAGCCACCTTCCCAGCTCATCTCCTCAACTCTTCTGTACCCACAGAACCCCCAAGTTAACGGGTAACAGACCCTCTATCAATTCTGCTGTTGCCCGTGCCCCTCTTCCTGGCACATCCTATATTCTTCATCTCTCCTGACACGGGACAGTTTGTGGTAAAGATGGGAGATGGTGAAGGTGGAGGCTTGTTTGTCAGGCTTCTTGCTCTGTGTCACCTCTCAAGGTTCTCATCCAGGGGAGCTGTGGGGAGAGCAGCCTGTTCTGTGGGTTTCCTGGGCATGGGAGGACAGGGTAGCTCCAAGTTTTCTCCCTCCCATGGGGCATCAGGATTTTAATGTCAAGATCTAGAGATTTGACACCCAATAAAAAGACATTTGGTATAGACAAACAGGGACACTTGTTCAGTCTACACCTGATTGTCAGCACTAAGCGAGGCCCTGCACCTGGTTAGATGTGTTCCGTACCTCTTCCTCCATCATATGGAGAACGCTGTTGCCCAACTCTTCTTGCCCTGTGCCTTCCAACCTGAAGCCTCACCATCCATGAGTCTCCTTGCCATTTCCCCTGGGCACTCCCCACAATTCCTTGCGTCACACGGGCCCAGTGTAATGTGGCTGAGAAGAACATGACATGTGAATCAGAATCACAGAGTCCTTGGCAGCAGCCAAATTCCTATCTGGGAAATCAGGGCGGGCTGAAGGGTGAGGCCATGTAGTAAACAGAATGAGTAATGAGGTCAGAATCATGCCTCGATGTAGTTCAGGGAAACGGAAACCGTCCAAAACCAGGTTGTGGATTATTGAATGATTCAAAGCTACTGGAGCCAGGAGTTGGTGGCTCATGCCTATAATCCTAGGTACTCGGGAGGCTGAGATCTCTTAAGGATTAAGTTCAGAGCCAGCTCAGGTAGCAAAGTTCATGTGACTCTGATCTCCAATTAACCAGGTAAAAAGCTGGAAGTGGAGCTGAAGAGCTCAAGTGGTAGAGATCCAACCTTGAACAACACAAAAGCTCAGGGACAGCGCCCAGTCCATGAGTTCAAGCTCCAGGACCTGCAGGCCTGAGTGTACACAACACACAACGAGGAAGATGATGATGACTTTTGGGGGGTTGGGGGGAGGGCAGGGCAGGTGGCCAAGTCTTCCTTTCCTCTGCTTCCTAAGACCCCAGGGTTGAGCTAGGCTAGGGGAGCTCAAGCTAAATCCTCCCAGGCTGGCAAGGGACTGCACATCAAGCCTTTGGCTCTTCATCTGCAAAGCAAGAGTAAAAACAATATTAAGAGCCTTATATGGGCTGGGAGGATGGCTCAGTGGTAGAGTGCTTGCCTTGCATGCATGAGGCCCTGGGTTCGATTCCTCAGCACCACATAAGCAGAAAAAGCCGGAAGTGATGCTGTGGCTCAAGTGGTAGAGCGCTAGCCTCGAGCTGAAGAGCAGAGGGACAGTGCCCAGGCCCAGAGATCAGGCCCACAACTGAGAGGAAAAAAAAAAAAAAAAAGAGGCTTATATAACACCGCCGGTCTGTGGATTAACCTTGCAAATATTTGTAAAATGCTTAGAACAGTGCGGGGCACATAAGAAATGCTGTCTAAGGGTTAAATAAACATAAGGTATCCCAGCTGGTGAGTGGAACCTGGACTCAGAAGTGAGTTCTAATTTTAACATTGGAGCCTTGAGGTGCTCTACCTTTCAGGTCAGCAGCAGGCCACAATGGACAAAGCTGACTAGAGGACTTTGAAACACAAATTTTCATGTCCACTAAGAATAGAAAAACACGCTGTGGACATATTTCACTTGGGCACGCAGGAAATACCACTGCAGTTACTAACCTGACCTGTTCTTAGGAAATCACTCAGAAATCCAGAAGTACCAGTTCAAATACAGCACTAGTTCCAAATTTAATAGGGCTCATTAAGCCCCAATCAAGCCCCAATCCTGGGGCTTGAACTCAGGGCCTGGGCACTGTCTCTGAGGTTCTTTTGCTCAAGGTTAGTGCTTTACCACTTGAGCCACAGTGCCACTTTTGGCTTTTTTTGTTTATTGGTACTGAGGAATCAACCCAGGACCTCATTCATGCAAGGCAAGCACTCTACCTCTAAGCCACATTCCCAGACCCAAAGTCAATCTTAGAACAG